TGTCAAAACAGTTATTTGCATAAGTGCATAAGAATCTGTTTTTATTTATAACAGGACACAATAACAGAAACTGGTTATTTTATGAAGGCTTTGGCTGGAATGGTGTGCTTTCCTTTAAGGAATCAAACTTGACTTATGGAGCCAATAAAAGCTGCTTGGGAAAACTGGCCTCATACCTTGTCTACACAGTCCCTGTACAGGATTCCTGACCTGTAGTAAGTAAAGCATGTCACTTTCTGACAGGCCCAGGAGCCCCAAGTTTATCTTAGAATGTCAAGAGTAAAAGAATTTACCCAACTCATAGGTACTTGATGCTACAAACCCACAGCTGGGCTTGGCTTTTAAAAAAGTCTTATTTGAGACCCCTTCTATGGAACAAAGTTCCATCAAAGCCAACTTAAAAGCCTGTGTAAAAAAAAAAAAAAATTATTCTTGCTGTACTTTATACAAATAATTAGGCCAAGTATAATAAAGCAAATTAATCCTACCATGATTTGTCTTTAGTAAAAGTGGGAAACTGGAGAGAGAAAAATTATATTTCAAAAACTATAGTACAACTGTTGTTAGAGTCTAGTCTTGCCTAATGTTTTTCCATTTTTATTATTTTCTACAATTAAGAATGAATTCTAATGTTTCTGGGCTGTAAGTCTTCAAAATGTTTTCAATTTTTTTTTCTTCTTTTTCCCCCATTTTTCCTAATTTGGAGTCACTGAAAACTAAGCTGTACTTTCATAAAGCCCTGTGAACTGAAGCTAGACAAGTTAAACTTTAGAAGAAAATAACAGTGACCTATTTGCATACATAACCCACTTTCATACCTACAGACTAACATATAGACTTCAGAGTAATGTGGTCTATATCAATTTTCCAGGATTGTTCTTTTGTTGTTGTTTTTCTCCCTTTCTCTCCCTATTTTCCCTTCATAGAACATGAGACTTCACAATCTGCCAAAAATGAATTTTCCTAATAACTCAGGACCTACCCATCTAAGAATAAACCATCCTAGCAATGAGAGATCAGACAAAACCTGAGGACAAAGACTCATTCTCTTCTAATGTGCTTTCTACAAAAGATTTTGAGAAATAAAAGGGAGAAAATGTGAAAGGAAAATAAATCTAAACGTGAAAGGAAAATAAATCTAAATGTGAAAAAATAAATCTAAATGTGAAAGGAAAATAAAATCTAAATGTGAAAGGAATATAAATCTTGAGGCTGCAAAATCACTAAGCTGGGAACTGCTTAGGGCAAACCTGCCTTCCATTCAATTCGAAGTCACCCTCTTCTCACTGAGATAAATGCATATCTGATTGCCTCCTTTTGAGAGGCTAATCAGAAACCCAAAAGAATGCAACCTTTTGTCTCTCATCTGCCCATGACCTGGAGGCTCCCTCCATGATTTGAGTTGTCCTGCCTTTTCAGACCAAACCAAGGTTTCATCTTACATATGCTGAATGATGTCTCATGTCTCCCTAAAATGTATAAAACCAAACTGTGCTTGACCACCTTGGGCACATGTTGTCAGGACCTCCTGAGGCTGTGTCATAGGTGTGCATCCTCAGCTTTGGCAAAATAAACTTTCTAAATTAACTGAGACCTGTCCCAGATATTCAGGGTTCACAACTTCAACACTTCACTTTCATCACTGTAAAAATTAAGCAGAAAGTCAACCAAAAAAAATCAGATTTAAACTACACCATAGACCAAATGGACCTAACAGACATTAACAGAACTTTTTATCCAACATCTGCAAAATACACATTCTTCTCATCAGCACATAGAACATTCTCCAGGATAGACCATAGGTTAGGCCACAAAAAAAAAAAAAACTCAACGCTTTTTAAAAATCAAAACCATATCAAGTATCTTCTCAGATCGCAAAGGAATAAAACTAGAAATCAACATAAAAAAGTTTTTGGAATCTGTAAAAACACATCAAAAAAGTAAAAAGATTTCAATTACACAATCTAACAATTCACCTCAAGGAACTAGAAAAGGAACAACCAACCAATCCAAATATCAGTAGTAGGAAATAAATAATAAGGATCAGAGTAGAACTAAACAAAATAGAGACAAAAACAAACAATGCAACAAAATAAAAAGTTTTTTTTTTTGAAATAACAAAATCAACAAGCCATTTTCTAGAGTAACTAAGAAAGAAAAGAGACTGGGCATGTTGGCTCATGCCTGTAATCCCAGCACTTTGGGAGGCCAAAGTGAAAGGATTGCTTGAAGCCAGGATTTCAAGACCAGCTTAGGCAGTAAAGTGAGACATCCATCTTTGCAAAAAAAAATTTTAATCAGCAAGGCATGGTGGCTCATGCCTCTAGTCCCAGCTATTCAGGAGGCTGAGGTGGGGTTCAAGGCTGCAGTGAGAAATGATTGAACCACTGCACTCCCTTCTGAAAAACAGTGAGAACCCATCTTAAAAAAAAAAAAGAAAAGAAAAGAAATAGAAGGACCAAGTAAATAAAAACAGAAACAAAAAAAGAAGACATTATAACTGATACCACAACTGAACTAGAAATGATCATTAGAGACTATTATGAACAACTACATGCCAACAAATTGAAAGGCCTAGAAGAAATGGATAGATTTTTGGACACATATAAGCTTCCAAAATTGAACCATGATGAAACAGAAAGCTAGAACAGACTGACAATAAGTAATGAGACCAAAGCAGTAATTAAAAGTTTCCGATCAAGGCTGAAGTAGGAGGATCGCTTGAGCCCAGAAGTTCAAGGCTGCCAGGAGCTACAATCATGCCACTGCATTGCAGCCTGGATGACAGAGCAAGATCCTGTCTCTATTTTTTATAAAAGAAATCCCATCAAAGAACTCAGGACTGAATGACTTCACTGTTCAGTTCTACCAAATTTTAAAGAAAAACTGATGCAGTTCTTCTCCAACTATTTCAAAAAACTGATGAGAAAAAAAATCTTTACTAACTCATTCTACGAAGTCAGCATTATACTGATACCAAAACCAGAAAAGGACACATATATATACACACACACACACACACCCCTCAAAGAAAACCGCAGGCTGATATCCATCATACAGGAATGGATCAACCTATGCAAATCAATAAATGTGATATATCACATCAACAGAATGAAAATCCATATGATCATCTCAATAGACACAGAAAAAACTCTGATAAAATTCAACATTTCTTCATGATAAAAACTCTAAACAAATATGATACAGAAGGAACACACCCCAATACAATGTCTATATATGACAAATCAACAACTAAAATCATATTGAACAGGAAAAAGCTTTTTCTCTAAGAACTGGAACAAGACAAGAATACCTACTTTCACCATTCTTATTCAACATACTACTGAAAGTTCTAGCTAATCAGGCAAGAGAAGAAATAAAGGCACACAAATTGGAAAAGAAGAAATCAAATTGTCCCTCTTTGCAGATAATGTGATCTTGTATATATAAAAAAAATAAGAACCCTGCAAAAAAAAAAAACCCTTAGAACTGATAAATTCAGTAAAGTTGCTGAATACAAAATCAACATACAAAAATCAGTAGCATTTTTATATACCCAATAACTAACTAGATGAAAAAATCAAGAAAGCACCCTCTTTTCCAATAACTACAAAAGAAATAAAATACCTAGGAACAAATTTAACCCAGGAGGTGGAAGATCTCCACAATGAAAACTACAAAGCACTGAAAGAAATTGAAAAGGACACACACATACACAAAATGAAAAGGGATTCAACCCTCCTAAATTGGAAGAATTGATATTGTTCCAATTTAGGAACAATACCCAAAACAACCTACAGATTGAAAAATACCAATGGCATTCCTCACAAAAACCGAAAACACAATCTTAAAATTTGTATGAAACCATAAAAGATCTTGAACAGCCAAAGCAATACTGAGTAAAAAGAACAAGCTGTAGGCATCACATCACCTGACTTCAAAATATACTATAAAGCTGTAGTAACCAAAACAACATGGTACTTGTATAAAAATGGATACATAAAGGTCAATGAAACAGAATGGAAAATCCAGAAATAAATCTATGCATTTATAGCCAACTTATTTTAAGAAAGGTGCCAAGAATATACGTTGGGGAAAGAACAGCCTCTTCAATAAGCAGTGCTGGGGAAACTGAATACCTCTATAAAGAAGAATGAAATGAGACCCCTACTTCTCACTATATACAAAAATTAACTCAAAATGGACTAAAGACTTAAAAGTAAGACCCAAAACTACTAGAAAAAAATAATAGGGGAAATAGATGAAGACATTGGCCTAGGCAATGATTTTATCAGCAAGACTTCAAAAGCACAAGCAACAAAAGCAAAAATAGACAAATAGCCTGTATCAAACTAAAAAGTTTCTGCACAGCAAAGAAAACAATCAACAAAGTGAAGAGACAATCTGTAGAATGGAAGAAAATATTTGCAAACCACTCGTTCTACAGCGGACTAATGTTCAGAATATAAAAGGAATTCAAATAACAACAACAATTATAATAATAATAGTCTGATTGAAAAGTGGTCAAAGGATCTGAATAAACGTTTTTCAGAAGAAGAAATATTCTTTTTTCTTTCTTTTAGGCAGTAAGATTTTTACTTACCCACCTTTCTGCTTTCTTTCAACATTATAAACATTATAAACCAAATTACTTTCTTTGTGACCCAGAGTTATGATAGGAACCATCTTGCTACAAAGTGGTAGCAGATATATGTCTGATTTTATGTTTTTATGGCCCCTCTCAATCTCTGGCTGTCACTTCTCTGTCCTTTCTCAGTTGTCCCTTAATAGTCTATTCTAACTCCTGTAAAACAGGGACAAATCTCATTGTTCAGATGTTTAAGAGAAGGCCCAGCCGTTAAGTCAGGTGCTCAGGAAAATACAAACAGTTCCTCATTGTTCTTCAGTATAGCTCCTTCCATCTGTCATGGTCTGAAGAACTACTGAACCAGTAAACCAAGCATACGGGTATAAGTCCACAGACCAGGGGAAGGCCTAGATGGTAAAGTACTTGGGCTTTATGACTCCATGACCAACTTCCAGGCTAAGGAAGGACTGACTTAGTGAGCAATTCCAAGACCACTGAGCTCATAGTTTCCTGTGGATGTCTCCCTTGTACCTTCATCATGACCAGAGCTTGAGGGGGGCTTTTCAATTCCCCCTGCCACACTTGGAACAGTATGAGGGATGCAGTAGAGGTCAAAAACTAAGTGACCAGCCCCAGGGAGTCAATGGGGGACATTGACAAAACAATCACAAAGTTGGTGTCATTTGCTCTTAGAGAAGGGAGGCGGGGCCAGGCAAGGACAGCAGCTGGAAGGTGAAGGGCAGGCCTGGTTCTCAGTAGTGGTAGTCATCCAGCTTGAAGGGGCCATCACTGGACATGCCCAGGTACTGGGCCTGCTTCTCAGTCAGCTTGGTCAACTTCACATTTAGCTTGTGCAGGTGGACTTCAGCCACTGCCTCATCCAGCTTCTTGGGCAGGAAGTGAACCCCAAGCGGGTATTTGTCTAGGTGAATCCACAGCTCAATCTGCACCATCACCTGGCGTTCCTGAGGACAAAGAGAAATATAAAAGAATGGAAAACATATGATGGAAATAATTGAAGAAAACTTCCCTGGCCTTGCTAAAGACCTAGACATCCAAATACAAGAAGCTCAAAGAACACTTGGGAAATTCATCACAAAAAGATCATCACTGGGCACATTGTCATCAGGTTATCTAAAGTCAAGATGAAGGAAAAAATCTTAAGAGCTATGAGGCAAAAGCACCAGGTAACCTATAAGGGAAAAGCTTATCAGATTAACAGCAGATTTCTCAGCAGAAATGCTGCAAGCTAGTAGGGATTGGGGCTTTATCTTGAGCCTCCTTGAACAAACAATTATCAGCCAAGAATTTCATAACCAGCAAAACAAATAAAGGAAAGATACAGTCTTTTTCAGACAAACAAATGTTGAGAGAATTCACCACTACAAAGCCAGCACTACAAGAACTGCTAAAAGAAGCTCAAACTCTTGAAATAAGTCCTGGAAACACATCAAAACAGAACTTCTTTAATGCAAAAATCTCACAGGACCTATAAAACAAAAACTACAACAACAATAACAAAAACCACAAGGTATACAGGGAACAAATAGCACAATGAATGGAATAATACCTCACATCTCAAAATTAATGTTGGATGTAAATGGCCTAAATGTTCCACTTTAAAGATACAGAATTGCAGAATGGATAAGAATTTACCAACCAACTCTCTGATGTCTTCAAGAGAATCACCTAACACATAAGGACTCACATAAACTTAGAAAAAGACATTCCATGCAAATGGACACCAAAAGTGAGCAGGAGTAACTATTCCTATATTAGACAAAACAAATCTTAAAGCAACAGCAGTTAAAAAAGACCAAGAGGGACTTTATATAATGATAAAAGGCCTTGTCCAATGGGAAAATATCACAATTCTAAATATATATGCACCTAAACCTGGAACTCCCAAATTTACAAAACAATTCCTACTAGACCTAAGAAATGAGATGGAAAGCAACACAATAATAGTGAGGGACTTTAGTACTCAACTGACAGCACTACGCAGTCATCAAGAAGAAATTCAGCAAAGAAACAATGAATTTACACTATACCCTGGAACAAATGAACTTAACAAATATTTGCAGAACATTCTACCCAACAACTGCAGAATATCTATACTATTCATCAGTGCATGGAACTTTCTCCAAAATAGACCATATGATAGGCCATAAAACAAGTCTCAATAAATTTAAGAAAATTGAAATTATATAAAGTACCCTGTCAAACCACAGTGGAATAAAACTGAAAATACACTCCAAAAGGAACTTTCAAAACCACACGAATACATGAAAATTACATAACCTGCTCCTGAATGATCACTGGGTCAACAATGAAACCAAGAGGGAAATTAAAAAATTATTTGAATGGAATAATAAGAGTGACACAACCTATCAAAACTTCTGGGATACAGCTAAGGCACTCCTAAGAGGATAGTTCATAGCCTTAAATACCTACATCAAAAAGCCTGAAAGAGTATAAATAGACCATCTAAAGTCACACCTCAAAGAACTAGAGAAACAAGAACAAACCAAATCCAAACCCAGCAGAAGAAAGGAAATAGCAATGATTAGGGCAGAACTAAATGAAATTGAAACAAACAAAAAGAAATACAAGAGATAAATAACACAAAAAGCTGGTTCTTTGAAAAGATGAATAAAATTGATAGACCTTTAGCAAGATTAACCAAGAAAAGAAGAAAGAAGATTCAAATAAGCTCAATTAGAAATGAAATGGGAAATATTACAACCAACACCACAGAAATACAAAAGATCATTCAAGGCTACTGTGGACATCTTTACATGCATAAAATGGAAAACCTACAGAAGATGGATGAATTTCTGGAAAGATACAACCCTCCTAGCTTAAATCAGAAAGGATTAAAAACCCTGAGCAGACGAATAACAAAAAGTGAGATTAAAATGGTAATAAAAAAAATTACCAACCAAAAAACTCCAGGACCAAATGAATTCACAGCTGAATTCTACGAGACATTCAAAGAAGAAATGATACCAATCTTATTGAAACAATTCCACAATATCAAAAAATTGGGAAATCCTCCCTAAATCATTCTATGAAGCCAGTGTCACCCTAATACCAAACCAGGAAAGGACATAGCAAAAAAAGAAAACTACAGACCAATATCCCTAATGAACACAGATGCAAAAATATTTAATAAAGTACTAGCTAATCAAATCCAACAACATATCAAAAAGATAATCCACCATGATCAAGTGGGTTTCATATGCAGGGATGGTTTAATATAGGCAAGCCAATAAATGTGATATACCACATAAACAGAACTAAAAACAAAAATTACATGATTATCTCAATCGATGCAGAAAAAGCATTTGACAAAATCCAGCATCCCTTCATGATTAAAACCCTCAGAAAAATCAGCATCAAAGAAATATACCTCAATGTAATAAAAGCCATCTATGACAAAGCCACAGCAAACATAATACTTAAAGGGGAGGAGTTGAAAGAATTCCCTCTGAGAACTAGAACAAGACAAGGATGCCCACTCTCACCACTTCTATTCAACATAGTACTGAAAGTCTTAGCCAGAGTAATCAGACAAGAGAAAGAAAGAAAGGGCATCCAAATCAGTAAAAGTCAAACTGTTACTGTTTGTTGATGATACAATTGATTACCTAAAAAATCCCTAAAGACTCCTCCAAGAAGGCTCAAAACTGATAAATGAATTCAATAAAGGTTCAGGATACAAAATTAATGTACACAAATCAGTAGCTCTGCTATACACCAACAGCAACAAAGCTGAGAATCAAATCAAAAACTCAACCCCTTTCATAATAGCTGCAAAAAACTGAAATAAAATACTTAGGAATACACCTAACCAAAGATGTGAAAGACCTCTACAAGGAAAACTATAAAACATTGCTGAAAGAAATCATAGATGACACAAACAAATGAAAACACATCCCATGCTCATGGATGGGTAGAATCAATATTGTAAAAATGACCATACTGACAAAAACAATCTACAAATTCAATGCAATTCCCATCAAAATACCACCATACCACCATCATTCTTCACAGAACTAGAAAAAATAATCCTAAAATTTATATGAAACCGAAAAAGAGCCTGCATAGCCAAAGCAAGACTAAGGAAAAAAAAAAAAAAAATCCGGAGGTATCATATTACCTAATTTCAAACCATAAGACCACAGTGACCAAAATAGCATGGTACTAGTATAAAAATAGGAACATAGACCAACGGAACAGAATAGAGAGTCCAGAAATAAACACAAATATTTTCATCCAACTGATCTACGACAAAGCAAACAAAAACATAAAGTGGGGAAAGGACACCCTATTCAACAAATGATGCTGGAATAATTGACAACCCACATTTAGAAGTACGAAACTGGAGCCTTATCTCTCAATTTATGCAAAAATCAACTCTAGGTGGATCAAGGATTTAAATCTAAGACATGAAACTATGAAAGTTCTAGAAAATAACATCAGAAAAATTATTCTAGACATTGGCTTAAGCAAAGATTTCATGACAAAGAACCCAAAAGTAAATGCAATAAATACAAAGATAAATAGGAGGGACTTGGAGGGGCATGGTGGTTCATGCCTGTAATCCCAACACTTTAGGAGGCCAAGGTGGGCAGATCATGAGGTCGGTAGTTCAAGACCAGCCTGACCAACATGGTGAAACCCCGTCTCTACTAAAAATACAAAAAGTAGCCGGGCGTGGTGGTGCATGCCTGTAATCGCAGCTACTCAAGAGGCTGAGGCAGGAGAATTGCTTGAACCCAGGAGTCAGAAGTTGCAATGAGCCGAGATAGTGCCATTGCACTCCAGCCTGGGTGACAGAGCAATACTCCATCTCAAACAAACAAACAAAACAAAACAAAAACTCTTAAAAGAAAAGATGGGGTTAAATTTTTATGACCTTAGATTTAACATATTCTTAAATATGACACCAAAAGCACAAGGAACAACAAAAATTTCCTTGAAGAATTGGACTTCATCAAAATTTAAAACTTTGTGCATCAAAGAATACTATTGACAGTAAAAGGAACCCACTGAATGGGAGAAAATATTTGCAAATCACATATTACAAGGGTCTAATATCTATAATACGTAAATAATTTTTACAAGCCAATAACAAAACGGCAAATAAACCAATTTTAAAAGGAGCAAAGGATTTGAATAAACATTTCTCCAAAGAATATATACAAATGGCTAACAAGCACATGACGGAGTTTTCAACATTATTAATTGATAAATGCAAATCAACACAACTGTCACAGGCGGAGGGTGTCCAGGTTCTTGGTGTTTTGAATGAAGAATTGGACAAAACACATAAACAAAGCAAGGAAGGAATGAAGGAATTTACTGAAAATGAAAGTACACTCCACAGTGTGGGAGTGGCCCAAGCATAGGGGCTCAAGGGCCCCGTTACAGATTTTTGAGGAGTTTAAATACCCTCTAGAGGATTGCATTGGTTACTTCAGGTACACCCTATGCAAATGGAGAGGATAAGTTACAAAGTTAGTTACTTGGCCTGCACTCTGGAAAGGATATTTCCTGTCATAGCTAAGTGTGAATTGGCCTTATGTTCTCTGCCCCCATGCCGTATTTTCCTGCCTCATCTCCACCTGAGAAATGTGATCCCCATAAATCTTTATAGGAGGCAGAGGGAACAATGGTATTTTTTCTGTAACTGCTTCATGCTGGCTTGGGGCATCATCCCTACCTATTGGGGATCACGGAACTCTCACCCTGCTCTGTCTAGTGGTGGCAGGGTAGCTCTTTCATGGCCAGCAGTGGTATCTTCACCTGGCAGTGGTATCTTCACCTGGAACTGGCTGGAACCTTTGTTGCATGATCATCTGAAGCTTGATGGTCTCTAGGCTAGAAGAAATGAATTCGATTAAAAAATTTAATGGGAACTTTAGGGGTTGGATACCTATGCTGTCAGGAATGTTTGTTATAGAGATTTGAAGGAGAAAAACAAAACCTGGTCTGTTCTAGAATCTATGCATTTCCTTAAAATCTTAGCACAGATAACTCCAGTTTGATTTGGTTTGGTTTGGTTTGGTCCGTTGGGGCTTAGTAAATGAGCTTAGTCCAAAACAACGGCCTCCCAGAATTTTATTTTTTTTAATTCCCCCATTTTGGTCACACTCTCGTAGCCTCACTCTCAGGTACCATCATTTTGGGTTTCCACTCTCAGCACATTATTTATAGGTTATGGTACCCTCATGGCTGTGCATTTCTTTCAGCTCTTGTCATTCCAATTGAAGAGAGATCATATGACATTCTAGATATGGCTACATGCAAGCATTTAAAACCTTTGAGAGAATACAGTGCACCAGGGAGACTATTATTATGACTATTGGGAGGATAACACGAAGAGTTTGGAGTATACTCTTTACCCAAGGTCCCCATAAACCAAACCTCCTAAAATCAAATAAACCAAAGAATGGGATAAAGAGTTTATTCACTTGACTAAGCATTTTTTTTGTTCCCAAAACAAAGAAGCGAGAATATTCAAGCTGATGAATGTCCTAAATATCCTGACTTGCTCATTACACATTGTACGCATGTATCAAAATATCACATGCACTCTATAAACGTGTAAAATATCAGCAAAAACAACAATAAAAACAAGTGAGAGACACCTTTCTGGTCATATTATCAGTATAATGTTGTTTCTATGCCTATTACATCAAATTTTTTTTAAATGAGGGACATAAAAACTGAAGTCCAGTAGAAAAATAGATAAAATAAATCCAACAGAAGAGCAGGTAAAAGACATACATATATTGTATATAAAATCTTAATGGACTTCAAATATATGAAAAATGTTCAAACTCCATAATTAAAGAAATGCAAATTAAAACACCCTTGAAATGTGATTTCCCACCTGTCTGACCGGGAAATATTAAAATGTGAAATGGAACATTCTTTGGCAGATCTGCTCATACACTGCTGTTGGGAGTGCACAGGTCAGCACCATCTTTCCACAGGGGAATTTGGCAAACGTAACAAAACTACTTGTGCACTAATGACCCGCAACCCAACTTCCAGGAATCTTCTCTGAAGACACACCTTCCACGTTAGTGGTCGCAGAGGTCTGAGTTATACCGAGTTCTCCGGCATCCGCAGGCGCCCACAGGAGCTTCAGCTCTTGCTTCCTCAGGAGAAAGAACTCGGCTGAGGCGCGCAAAGCAGAAAAAGAGACTGAGGCAAGTTTCAGAGCAGGAGTGGAAGTTTATTTTAAAAGCCTTCGGAACAGGAAAGAAACGAAAATTTCCTTGGAAGAGACCCAAGGGGGCGCCTGAAGGTCCAAGAGAGAAAAAAGGGGGCCTTCAACCTCGATCCCAGAACGTTACAGACGCGCCTCCGTCCCACCATTCTTCCCTTTGGCCCGGCTTTCCGGCGCCCGGAGCGCGCCTCACCCTTGAAACTGGGCATGCGCAGTGTGTTCAGGGCGTTACACGCATGCGCTCTGAGGCTTTCTGGCTTTTTCCAGTGGCGTGGACCAGTAATGTCATACTTGACATTTTTGTCTTCTTAATGTGCATGCCCAGGAAGTTTCTCTTCCCTGGGGCCTTCATTCAATGAACACGTCAATGTTTAACAGCTGTGGATCGTCAAGAGATTTTCCTCTCCATGGCTCTGGAATTACTATTTTTACACAGGCAGTTTGGTAATTGTCGAACCAGCACCTGACGTTTCTAGCGGGTGAGGGAGAACCCTCTCCTGCCCCACTCACGGCTGTCCACCTATAACAGTCAGCAGTAGAACAATACAAATGCCCAAGGGTATTCCTTGAAACATTGTCTGTGATCGCAAGATATTGGAGCAAACTAAAAGCCCATACAGTACAGAGCGGTTGCAAAGCCACACTGGATTCCTGTGACACACTGCAGAAGAATGGCAGACCCCATGAACAGAAGCAACAGATTTCCAGAATATACTGTGAAGTGAGAAAAGCGAAATTACATAAGGGTAGTACCGTAGACTACTACTCAGGTGGGCCGCTCTTAATTGGTTGTTTTTACAAAGCTGAGATGACCAGCTGGAGTGATCTGGACAACAGACAGGCCAGGAGAAGCCCAAGTCCCCCAGGGCTCTTCCAGTGGTGGGAGTGTGCCCCCCGCAAAGTGTCGATGGAAGGACACGCCAGAAGCTGAGCCCTAAGGCATAGCGCACACACCATCCGCAACTCAGCCTGGGCCGTTCCCAAGCTCTCCGGAGTGCCCAGGCCCCAAAAGGGGTAGAAATGGAGGGTGGAAAATTCTATTGGCCAAGAACGTCTCTGACCTTCAGGAGGAGAATGAATGAATAAGCAAGCAAACAAATAAAAGCTAGAATCATCCAGGTAAAAAGTGACTAATTTAGCTTCTAGAGAAAAAAATATAAACGATTCAGTGTAAGAAATAAAAAAGACAAACTTTAGTGCTATGTTACAGGCACAGGGGAAGAAAAAGTGAAAGCGGGTGAGATGGGGTTGGAGAACACAAATGAGGCACTGAATTCCAAAAGAAAAAAGACAAATAGTGAGATGAAGACCTGGAGGCAGGAAGAAAGACAGCTGGGAATCCACTCTCTGCCAACACCAGACTGAATATCCTGGGGGGCACAAGTACCTTGTAAACCAAAAATAAAATTCTAAGGCCCCCCAGCCATCTGAATGGACCTCTGGTCAGCCAGGGCTCTTTTAAAATGTAACCTGAGAGACTGTTTTAGGCTATGACAGGAAGTAGGGGTTGGACATGTCTCATTATACCTCTCCAGCATTAACATCAACACAGACTTTAAGTCTGATAAAAAACGGTTTACATCCTATTCTCTCTGAAGCCTACTACCTGAAGGTTTCCTCTGCAAATAGGAACTTGGATCTCCACAATCCTTTATCTTAACCCAGACATTCCTTCCTATGGATCCCAGGCCGTTAGCTACACTTAACAAATTGTCAACCAGAAAATGTTTAAATTTACCTGTAGCCTGGAAACCCCCACTGTGAGTTGTCCCGCCTTTCCGAACCAAACCAAGGTACCTCTTAAATGTGTTTGATTGATGTCTCATGTCTCCCATAAATATGTAAAATCATGCTGTGCCCTAACCACCTTGGGCACATTTCTCAGGACCTCCTGAGGGCTGTGTCATGGGCCATGGTCACTCATATTTGGCTCAGAATAAATCTTTTCAAACCCCAAGTCTGCCCCTCCATTGAAGAAGAAGTATGGCCGTCTCTAGGCCCCTAGGCCACTGTGTTCACTTGAAAACGAGTTCTCAAATTTTGTGTTGTCCCTTCCTGCCCAACTGGAAGCCCATAGAGGATGATATCCAAGCCTAAGTCCTCACTGTGGCTAAAAGGTTCTAAAGGAACAGAAGCTGAGAGGAACCTGAGGGGTCCTGAAATCACCATTTCACAGATCTGTAAGGAACTGGAGACAGAAGGAAGCAGACTCACCCAGGGCACCTAGCTGCCAGCACAGAGCTGCAACCACTCACTCAGGTCTTTCCCTGGGGTTCTGTGGTCAGGGAGAATTGTATGAAATCCCAGGACCTACCTCCCTGGCTGTGTGACCTTGGACAAGGCACTGACCTCTGCCAGGCTCAGTCTGCTCATCTGAACAACAGGGACATGTAATACCTACCTCCATGGGTTGTCATGGAAATAAAATATGGCACAAAGCCCATTACTCAAAGGGAGTATTGACTTCTACTACCATCGCAGCTGATACCATCATTGTAGGTAATAATACTGGGTTGACTCCAAGTCACACATAGTTGGGTGGGGCCTGTGCTCGTGTCTGGGGGAGTTTGTCAGTGTATCTTAGGGACTCTAAATCCCCTGATTCATGCTCCCTAGCCTTCACCTTTATGAACTCTTCCTGGTTTTCCCTCCTACCTTCTGGTTTAGCTTCCTTAAGAGCCCTCCCTCTCGGCAGCAACTATCCCCGTAAGATGTCAGCTGACAGTGATTAGAGTGTGACTCCCACTGAGGACTAGTTAATGGGAAATAGATGGCTCTTCAAGGGCCAAGAGAATGGCTGGAATTTGAGACTGACAGTCCCTACAGAAAGTGTGGGTGGCAGGGGGTCCCAATTTATTTGTGTTGGCCAAAGCCCACCAGCACTATTATTCTGTGCTTGTAACTTCTGCTGCTGGGGCTAGCAGTAGGAGACCCACCTCCTGCTTCAGGGTTAATGTGCAAGAGTCTGAAAGAGTCCCAACGCATCCTCATTCAAAACCTGCTCTGGTGATCATCCAGTACGATTTGCTGGCACTGTATTTCTTGAAGCCTCACTTTCCTCTGTAGCTTGGCTGGTTGGAGCACTTTTGGGGAAACCAGAAGCCCCAGAATCACTTGACACAAGTAGCTGCTTCCTCAAGTTTAAGAGCAACCCTGCCCTAAGTCCACTGCCCATTCTGCCTGGGACCTCCCTTCTCTGAACCCTCCTCACTCTTGTTCTCAGATCTAAAGCCAGATTTGGGTGCTTAAGGACTCGGCAAAACATTTCTAGGTTCACTTGTTGAGTTTAATATCTACATTGAAGATTTATTTCTGCATTCTCTATTCTATTCCATTGGTCTATTTGTCTGTTTGTGTGCTAGCACTATGCTGTTTGGGTTACTACAGCTTTATAGTATCTTTTGAAGTGAGGTGGTGTGATGACTCCAGCTTTGTTCTTTTTTCTCAGGATTGCTTTGGCTATATAGGGTCTTTTGTGGTTTCATATGAATTTAATTGCTTTTTCTATATCTGTGAAGAATGTCATTGGTATTTTGATGAGGATTGCATTGAATCTGTAGATTGCTTTGAGTAATACAGACACTTTAATAATATTAATTATTCCAGTCTATGAACACAGGATATCTTTCCATTTTTTTTCTGTGTCCTCTTTAATTTCTTTCATTAGTGTTTTATAGTTTTCATTGTAGAGCTCTTTCAACTCTTTGGTTAAATTCATCCGTAGGTGTTTTTTTATTGTTGTTGGTTTTGTTTTGTTTTTGTAGCTGTTATAAATTAAACTGCTTTTTTGATTTTTTTCAGATTGTTCACTGTTAGCAAATGGAAATGCTACTGATTTTGCATATTGACTTTGTATCCTCCAACTTTACTGAGTTCATTTAGCAATTCTAACAGTTTTTGGCATGATCTTAAGATTTTTCTAAATATAAGATCATGCCGTCTGCAAACAAGGACAATATCACTTTTTTTTTTTTTTTTTTTTTTTTTTTTTTTCCCGGAGATGGAGTCTCGATCTCTCACCCAGGCTGGAGTGCAGTGGCACCATCTTGGCTCACTGCAAGCTCCGCCTCCTGGGTTTAGGCCATTCTCCTGCCTCAGCCTCCCAAGTAGCTGGGACTACAGGCACCTGCCACCATGCTAATTTTTTTGTATTTTTTAGTAGAGACAGGGTTTCACCATGTTAGCCAGGATGGTCCCAATCTCCTGATCTCGTGATCTGCCCACCTCAGCATCCCAAAGTGCTGGGATTACAGGCATGAGCCACCGCACCCACCTGACTTATTTTTTTGCTATTTTGAATGTCCTTTGTTTCTTTCTCTTGTCTAATTGCTTGGGCTAGAACTTTCAGTACTGCATTGAATAAAAGTGGTGACAGTGAACATCCTTGTCTTGTACCAGATCTTAAAGGAAAGGCTGGATGTTAGTTGGATGTTAACTGTGGATTTGTCATATATTACCTTGATTGTTTTGAGGTGTGTTCCTTCTATACCCCATTTGTCAAGGGTTTATCATGAAAAGATGATGAATGTATGTTAAGTGAAATAAACCAGGCACAAAAAGACAAATATTGCATGTTTTCACTCATGTGGGAACTAACAAAGTTTATGTCATGGATATAAAGAGTAGAATGGTGATTAACAGAGATTAGTTAATGTAGGGGGGAGGTAGGGGTAAAGAGAGGTTGGTTAATGAGTAACAAAAATACATTTCAATAGAAGGACTAAGTTGTTGTGTTCAATAGCACAGTAGGCTATCATTTTTGTATTTCACAATAGCTAAAGAGGAAGATTTGTGATGTTCCCAATACAAAAAAATTGATACAAGTCTGAGGTGATGAATATCCCAGTTACCTTGATTTGATCGTTATGTATTATATGCACGTATCAAAATATCACATGTAACCCATAAATATTATATGTACAGTTATTATGTATACATTGAAAATGTACATTGAAGACACATAGTGATAAGTGGTTTTTACTTTGGTTCAATTTATATTTTAGATTAAAGGTTATATGGAGATTTAGTTCAAGAAACTTTTAGCTCAGATGTGCTAAACCCAGTCTTGAGCACAAAGAAAGGAACCCCACATCCTCCTTTTGTCTTCCTGGATGAGGCAGTGAGAAAAGGTCAAAAGGGCTTGGGGGTCTGATGGAAACAGTACATTATCCTAACGCCTTCCATGAGGCAGAGTTGTTGCTGGGAAAAGCTGACCCCTAGGGACTATTCTGCCTGTTGTCTTGAGTCCAGGTGTTGCTGAGTGAACGCTCAACTCAATGGGTTGTGAGCAGGGTGTTGCCTGTCACTTCCAGGAGGAGTGAACTAGCGTGCAGTGAACTGCATAGTGACCCAGGGGAACTATTGGAGAGGCTTCCATGTCTTCACTGGGGTGGGGGGTAGTTACAAGGGCAAGTTTGTTGATGTTCATCAGACTGCACACATACATTTTATTGTATGTAAATCCTGCCTAAAATGTAATTCTGTATACAATTTCATTCTAAGTAAAATAAACCAACATGGGCAAAAGAACTTTACAAATTACAAAGTACTGTGGAAAGACAAGGCCATTGTCATTAGTCCAACCATACAGTGTGAGTGTAGAATTCTGTGAAGTTTCTCAGACATGGGGGCTTATCCTAGAGCCCAGGCTGGGCCTAAGGAAAAATTGCCAATAAGGGGCTTTAGCTTAGGTGCAAAGTACAAGACCTGGCTCAGGGGCCAGAGGACAAGAGTCTAGAGTTAAGCATGAACAGCCAGGAGGAAAAAAAGGTAGACACACAGGCAGGAGGGGCACTCTGCTCAATTCCCTGCTCTGGGTAAGGAGGTGGGAGCCAGTAATGCAAATGGAAGTACATTAGGGTACTAGTTTATACTCTATTAACAGGATGAAAAGCATCTACCCCTGGGCAGTACCCACTATTTCTGTTTAACTTTGCTGCCCTGTCTTTCTGCTCTCTTTCCACCTTCAGCCTGCAGTCTAGGCAAGCTTCCCAGAATGGAAACCCAATCCCACTCTTACTATCTCACTTAACTATACACTGACTTCCCATGGCCTTCAATTTAAAGCCAGAGTCATCTACAATGCTGTGGAGACCTCCTGGGCTCTGGTCCTGCTTGCCCTTCAGGCAGGCTCCCACGTGACCCTTTGCAGTTCCCCAAACTTGTCGCTGCTTCCTCACATCAACATGGAGTACTGGGGCTTCCAGGAGACATTAAGAACTGGCTAGCTGGTAGTTCAGACAATGCAGATGAGAGGCAGAGAAGCCCCCGATGCTGTCTGTGAGGCCATGGTGTCAGCAGCCACGGAGGGCCTAGGAAGGGCGAGTAAAGTGTATACGAGATTCTGAGACTGAGACAGAAGCAGCTGTAACCTTAGTGAGGTTGGCATCGTCAGAGGGAGCTGAGCAGGGACAATTCCTTCTACATCAGCATTTCTTGTGGCCTCTCTTCCCACTGTCTTTAGGGAGCACCCTCCAGACTGCAATCTTCTACTGTTAACATTTACTGCTTGCCAAGCTCTGTGCTAAGCTTCACAGGGAGAACTATGTTGACAGACCTCACAACCCCATGTAGCAGACCTTATCACTATCCCCATTATACACTTGGGGAAACTAAGGCCCAGAGAGGAAAAGTCTCTTGCTCAAGGTCCTGTGGCTGGATTTACGAGCATAAGTGATGGATGTCACTGCCAGCCCTGGCCCCTGGGCCATTCTGCACAGCCCTCCAGGCACTCTCTCTTTGTACTTATCAGCTGGCTACAGACAGAGCACTTAACTGAGAGTCCAATGGGTCATGGGGGATGGTGGAACTGTGGGAACAAAGAAGCATGACGCCTTCCTTACTCCTGGAGAAGAGCAACCCTGGACAGATGTCCAACCAGGAGCATCTATATGGAGTTTAAGTTGCTGAGAAATAAACTCCCATTGTGTGATTTTTTTTTTTACTAAGGTATACTTGTTATAGCAGCACAACCTAGCTTATTATATTAAGAAGTAATAGCAACTTTACAATGGAGAAACCTGAAAGATATTAACCTTAACCAAGGTTAACATCACCAGTAATATGACTCGTCGATGTCACGTATCTCCTGATAAAATGCACTGAGACGGGCATATCATTGCCGTGGTTTTCTTGCCAAAAATGCATCACCTCAATCTGATCACAAGAAAACTTCAGACGAGCTCAGATTGGGAAACATTCTATAAAATGGCCAATAATCTTCTTAATTATCGAGGTCTGGGTAGATTCCAGAACTGCCGCCATTTGAAGGAGACTGAGGGGACATGACAATTAAATGCAAAGAATTGGATCCTGGATCAGGAAAAAAAAGACATCCATAGAAACTGGTGAAATGCAAATGAGGTCTG